CCACTGGGGGGGGGGGCTCCATCAGCCACTGGTGGGGGCTCCATCAGCCACTGGGGGGCGGTGCATTCTGCTGTGTCCAGAGCTGATAGTGTTCCACAACTTAGAGAAGGAACATACAGTGGAACCAGGGCTGAGGTCAAGTTGTCCAATAAATCAGCTCCTCTGTCTTTCCCTAACCTCTTTTTGTTAACTTCAGGGGAAATTGTCATGGGGTTATTAAAACACTTTCAGGATCAGAATTCCTTTATTTGTCCCACAGAGGGGAAATTAACATTGTTTCAGCAAGTAAAGATATAAACATTATGAGATATAGAACATGCACGTACTATTTAAAATAAACATTACAATTTACAAAGTACACATTCAGGTAGAAAAGTAGAAGCAGTATTTATAAAAATGTTATCCAAAGCGACTTACATACTCAATGTGCACAATCCCCACAGGAGCAATTTGGGGTGAAGTGTCTTGTCCAGGGACACAACGACATGCTGACTGCAGTGGGGTTTGAACCTGTGCCCCCCTGATCCCAACACCAACGCACAACCCACTGTGCCACACACCTCCTCCGCCTTACCATTTATAATATAAATTAAGTGTAATATGTAGAACGAAGTGTGTTAGAAGCTAAATGACGTAAGTAAAATGTTATGTTTTATTTAGTTACTTATAGATTCTTGTTAGAGTTTTAAAATTGTCAAACTAAGAAGGCAGCCAGTTATACTAACATTTTAACTAGGTACATTCTTCACATAAGTGTTATTTTACAACAGTGGTGTCTTAGTCTTAGTGTTGTTGTGAGGGGGGGGAGGGGTCTACTAGGGGCTGTGTAGAGTTTGACTGCTGCAGGAAGGAAGGATATGGAGGACAGGATATTGCATCAGAAGAAAAATGCGTAATAAGCATGTGACTCAGGAGGGACGATACGTGAGTAGAAGGCTGCTGTGAGTGTACAATTGGTTACATCTAGTTAATTCTACCTTACATATTTATTTAAGATTCACCAGTTGTGTTTTAACTAAAGTATGATCATAAAACTTCATTTAAATATTATTATGATATACAGACAGACAGCTAGACAGACAGATACATATACACCAACACACACATACAAACACACACACACACGGATACAGCCATTTGAATGTCTTTGAGTGAGTTAACCGCAGAGTTGTGATACTTAGGGGCCCCAACCTTCTGCCATGAGGCCCCCCAAATTGAGTTAGTAAATGACAGTGCTGTGTCTCCCAGTTCCACACACAGACAGAGCGGACATCACATGGCCACAGAACAAGTGAGAGCAGCCCTTCTCCATTTCAGTTTGTTCACAGGCTCAGGATCAGCAGCTCGGCTGTTACTGACATTGATGAGAAACAGGTAACTGTACGTACTAAAGTCGAAGTCTGACACAGAAACCTTTGTTAGAGCTGCGTCCCACCTGATTCTCACAGCACACGCCCTGTCTGCTGAGCACATTGAGTAACTGCACCACACCTCCAGCAGGATTAAAGGATAACATTATATAGAAGCATAAATAATCATGTATAAACATATATATGAGTCCTTTTAGCAAGCTAGTACCAGCTCCATTAGGGAAGACAAGCAGCATATTAAGATATTTGTTTCACAAGCATGCAAACAAAGTTCTTCCAATGGTTTATCACTGAACTTTAAAGCTTCAGTGATAATTGTAAATTGTAAAAATAAAGCCAATTTGCTGCAATTCTTTATATTTCAATAAGGGAGATGATGGGTTGAGTCTTAATATAAAATCAGCAACACCAGAATCGAAAATCATTTATTTGAGAAATGTACATTGATACAACAAAGAGTTAAAATAAAGAGATAAAAGGCAAATACAATGAGTTGTCCAACATGGTAAATAAAGAGGAAAGCACATGTTAATCCAAATAAAAAGTACACATCCATGGTATACATTCATTATAAAGAAATTGAAAAAGATCCTAGATTTTTTCCTAAGATTATCTGCATGTGTGTCACACCTCATAGTTTAACAGTCATGCATTTTGTATGGTAAAGTTCAGAGTCTCATGTGATCATGACCAGGCATTTACAGTATGAGATCCCAGCATGCATCTGCGAGGCCAACACTCTGCATATTAAGAATCATTGGAAACTTCCTGAGATAAAGTGTAGCCTGCAGGGTAGACAGCGTGGTAAATCTCCAGCGGCCAATAACCAGCAGACTGCTTGTTTACACTGCCATCATTGTGACGTCTTTCTGGTTGAACATGTTGTGGATCCTCGCAGGAACACCTGTGTGTAGGAGGACAAGACATTACGAAACACAAAGGCAGCAAACAGCGTGGCACCACAGCATGTGACTGTGGAACACTGGGGACATGTTTACCGTCACGTCTGTCTCAAGGACAGAGAGCATGCTGGATAACATACAATGACAGTTAGCTTATATTCACTTATATCATTAAAAATACAAATAGACCAATAAGACGACACAAACAAAACTCATGAGAGGAATAGCCTTTACAGGAAAGTGTTAAGTTAAATGTAACAAAATCAAAAAACTACTGCTATCAAAACAATCCTTTGATTTAAAAAGCGTAATATATGAATATACCAATTACTGGATTGAATTCAGGGAGATAAGAGTCAAATATCCTTTAAAGAACTCCTCCAAGTATGTATTGTATATCCTCTCTCTCTTTTAGTAAGAGCAGTTGGGATTCAGCAGCACTATAAGTTAAAAAAAGAGATCCAGAGCCCTGTTATCAAGAATACAGCACATGACATCATGTTTGAAACCAGCTTCCTCAGGCTGTGTGAGGTGTGAAAGTAAGATGAGCACCGGAAGAAGACTTCACAGTTGAACCCTCCCCCCCC